CCCCCCCCCCCCCCCCCTCCACGTACCTCAACACAACAAACGGCAGGAAACAATTGTCCCACCGCAAAGGGGAAAAGCCAGACGCCAACGTTAAGGTTGCAAAGAGCCGACCTACATCCAAATCGTCAAACTCTTTTCTTCTTTAGTCATCGCCTTTGCTGAATAAAAAAAAAAAATCACCGTGAGTGAAAATGATCAATTAAAACAAACAATCGCAGCGAAAAAACAAAAATGATCGAACCAAAACCTAGCGCGCACCTGCATCACGTAAGCGCTGCCGCCGACGCCGGAGCCCCTGCTGACGACCCCGCCCTCCCGCCCGAAAACGCCGTCCACGACGATGTCGCCCTCCTGCCGCCCGACAGACCGAGTCTTGCGGCCGCCGAGCAAGTCGAGCAGCGTCGTTTTACCCGAGCCCGAGGGACCTTCAAGAAACGGTAAAGCGAACGGGGAGGTAAGAGTTAAGGTTTATGTGCGTTGAAGAGTCGGGGGAGGGGGGGGGGGGGACTCATGACAGTAAACCAAGCACGGCATACCAGTAAACCAGCACGGGACATCTTAATCCGAGCACGTTTGGTAAACTGGTAAGCACAGGCGCTCCTGACTCCCCCAATAAATACCACAATACGCCAACAACACGCCCCTTTCAATTGCCCTTACTTCTGCCTACCGTGTGTCGCCCCTCGTGCCTCGCTCCCCTGCCCTAGAGCGGGCTGCCTTCGCGAGAAAATAAGTGAAGATTGAGGAAATACAACAGAGACGGGGTACGCAGATCCTACTCCCTAACCGTTACCCTTGCCCAACTCCCCCGTTCTTTGTCCAACAGGTTTGCTGAATACGAAAACCCTTGGACGGTTACGGCCTGCAGCAGTACATGTACGAGCAAAAAAGAGCGCATTGCTATGTATTATATAGTCTATCCCACACTCTTTCATCTTGTGGAGGAGATGAAATTACTGCTGTGCCAGAAGAAAAACAAAAAAAACTGCCGGAGGCTACATAGCTCGCCCGCTCACCCATGATTGCCATCATCTGACCCGGAGCCACCACGCCGCAGACACCTCTCAAGATTTGCTGCTCCCTCTTGCTCTCGTCCCGCCTGACAACGGCGGGCTTCACGACGTCACCGCGACCGGCGTCAGCACCGGCGGCAGCGTTAACACCGCCGCCGCCGTCGCCGCCGTCGCCGCCGCCGCCGCGCCTGCCACCGCTGGCGGCGCTAGTGTTGGTGGTGGTGGTGGTGGTGGTGGTGGTGCCGGTGCCGCCATCCTCATCTCGAAGGTAGACGTGGTAGTTGAGGTTCGAGAATGCCACTCGGGAGCCCTGCAGGGATGAAAGGTACATGCAAGGGGAGCGTTCATGTGTGTCAAGGGGAGAGAAACGACGGCAACAGGCGCACCACCACAAGGGAATTCATTCTTACATGAACCAGTGATGCGCAGCCAAAATTACGCGAAATTATCGTAGCAGAGTGGGAAAAAAGGCGCACCTCGCAGACCCCCGCCTCGTACACGCCTCCCATGTTCTCCAGGCTGTGGAAACCTCCGTGGAACCCTCCCAACAGGGGGACGCGGAGGGACGAAGGGTCGTTGTGGTCGTAGCTTTGCAGGCTCCCGCCCGCGCCGCTTGTCATCGCTGCGAAGGTCTGGGTAGGTTTCTGAGAAAAAGACAAAAAAAATCGAGGCAACGGCGACAGGGGGGGGGGAACTCATAGTCGTGCATGCCGTATTCGTTTGACCATGGACCTCGCATCCCTACAAAGGGGGGGAGGGGGGGAGAGAGACGGGGTGAAGATTTGATAAACATGACACACAGCCAACGAATAACAAAAAAAGGGAAAGGAAAGATGGTTGGTCCAATAGCGTGAGACGGAACAACGCCTGGACGGTTTCAACACAGCAGAAGATGCAAAAAAAAAAAAGACCTCAACAGATGTGTGCTCGAATTGACTGTCCACAAGTTTGTCGGGGTCGTCCATGTGGCGGCCCCCTCGTCTACCCAACACGTCAAAAACAAGCGAGACGCGCGTCGAAAACGCACCGCCAACACACCCAAGGCACACGGTCATACACACCAAAGCGGCACGCACCCCGCCACCACCGCACGACTAGCGCCAACCGCGCGATGTGCCCGCGCAACGGCCGCTACCCAAACTAGACAGACCGCTTGGCATACGTCGATAGACCAATCATATGCACACCGTGCCGCCTTCCTTCATGTAGTATAAAGGCCCGCTACCCTAAACAGGCAGACCGCTTGGCAGACAAACAGACCAATCATACAATAACGACCGCCTGGTAAAAGCCCAATCACAATCATACACCTTGCTGCCGCCTTCTTTCAGGTATTTTAGTACGAAGGCCCGCTACCCTAAACAAAGGTCGATAAATAGACCAATCACATTCACACCTTGCCGCCGCCTTCTTCCAGGTAGTACAGAGGCCCGTCCCCATCCCCACCGCCGCCGTACGCCTCCAACAAGCTAGAGTCAACCGAGCCCTTCCTCGCCGCCTCTGTCTCCTTAACCTCCTCCCCGGACCAGCCCCCCCCGAAGTCCCCCGACTGCTGCTGCTGCTGCTCCTGCCGCCGCCGCCGTTCCTCCGCCGCCTGGCGCTGCGCCGCCGCCGCCGTCGCCGCGTCCTCCAGGGGCGCTTCCTCGAGGAACTTCAGGCGTGACCGCCGGGGGTGGAGGAAGAAGAGGGCGAGCAGGAGGGAGGTGCTGTAGACGAGGCCCACGTAGACGGCGTTAACCAGGAGGGTCGGGCGGCCGGTGCCGAAGTAGAGGTCCAGGAGCTTGGGGCCTTCGTCGAAGTCGTGGAACTGGTTCACCGCCATCAGCTGTGTCGTGTCATGTGCGGACGGGGGAGGGGGGGGGTCGCCAGTTTTTGTTGATTTGTGTTGTGTTCTGTTTGCACGGACAGCGATGATCATGCGGTGATCGGATGACAGCCACCATCATCAGATCATGACGATGCGGGATGGCGTTACAACAGCGGTGGAGGTTTGCGGTGCCGCACGACGGTGATCAGTGATTTATGACCGAGAGTGGGGGTGTGGGACCGACCGCCATGACGCACGTGTGCGTTCGGATGACCACCCCCAGCACGACAACAATCAGCAGTGCGGTCATGTGTGTGGACAGGGAGGGATTGTAAGTGTAGTACAGTGCGGAGCGGGTACTCATTCGAATGTAGAGCAAATATAGTGGGTACAAGCGAGAGGACGGGTTCCTACAACGTAGTTCCAATTCCGAACCCAGATCCCAAGGAGAAAGCCAGCACATGTCTCGATTCAACAGCATACCAGCAGGGTAGGCGTTACCACGAACACACTGCTGCTGTTCCTCCTCCTTCCCTTTCCTCCCAACCCACCTGATAGATCCAGCGGCAAAAGCTGAAGTTGCAGAGCCAGGAGAACCACACCCTTACGGCAGGCAGACGCACCGTGAAGCCAGAGAAGTTCGCCGCCGTCACGAACACCAGCGGCCACGTCGCGAACGCGTTCTGGTGAAATCGCGCACAGCAAATTGGGGGGTGGCGATTAGGCGGGGTTATGTAGGGAGGGTGCACGGGAGGGGGGGGGGGGGGGTACGGAGAGTGCGCTGGAGGCGGGGTAGGGAGCGAGCTCGTCGGGAAGATGGCCTCATAGGCGAGAATTATTTGTAGCAAGATCCGCGCAAACAGCCACCGCTGTGCTTGGTTTTGTCATATTAAGAAAAATAAAAAAAATCAAATCAAATAAGCACACAGAAAGACTACCTGTTCCAGTTTGTAAGTATTTTGTGGGTCTGCTGTGTTGTTCGTGTCGTGATCCCGTCGCCAGATGCATTCGATGACGCAATCGTATCATGCCAGGCACGCGAGGAAAAATGCACTCGAAGCACGTCGGTTGGATCAGAAGGCACGTCGGAGGTGTGAACTGAGCAGAGACCACAACGGTTGTCAACGCCAAGACAACAACAACAACAACAACCACCGTACCTGGGGAGTGGACATGGCCGCGGACAGCGTCTGCGCCAGCGAGTAGCCCATGAGCGTGGACATGAGGCCGATCCCCGAGAAGATGAAGAACTTGGCGTACTCGTGAGGCAAGCCGAGGGCCCAGTAGCACACGTTCAGGTACACCAGAAAGCCCACCAGGATGATCGGTAGGTGCACGGTCGAGCTCACCTGCAGGGGTTCGGAAGAGCGGGAGAACGACGGGGGGGGGTTCGGCAAGGGGGGTCGGTGTTTAACGTGTTGGTCGACCAGTCATCTTAATGCGTTGTCAAGTTGCCACGTTTCCTGCTGGTGTCTTGTATTTCGCCACTTTGTGCCCAGAAATTTGGATCGAGACAAGCTTCCTTGGTCACAAAAGTTTGAGAATGATGGCACGGAAGTGGTAATTGACACCGCCTGTATTGAAAGTACTTAGCCCGTCCGGGAGCACCATCACGTGCGCACGAAAAGCACGGCAGTCGTACCGAACCGGTGTTGTCCCACTACAACGATCGCCAAAAAAAAAAGCAGCTACAACACAACAACGGGTTTTCGCTTATCGCAAAAAAAGCACTCTCACCAGAAGCAGTTACAACGTATTTTGTTTCCGCAAACAGCAAAAAAAATACTCACCAGCCAGTACACGGTCGTCGAGTACATCCCTCCCGCCCGCTCTCGCTCGAAGTGCCGTTTCCACTCGAAAATCTCCGGGATGGCCTGCGTTCGTAGCACAGCGGAGGAGAACGGTGTAAACGTTCAAGCGTCCGCGATTGGGGGCGGCTGGGTAGAAGGGGCTTGGGGAGGAGTAGGGGACACGGCAAAGGAATATGACCAGGGGGGCTCCGCACGGCCGTGCGGCAGCAGGGAAAAGTGACGCAATGCAGCAACGAGTCACACCAAACACGACAAACAGAAGCCACAACAATGACAAGAGCAACAGCAGCGAAGGCCACCATCACACAAAACTAAACAGCAGTCTCAAGGCGCCTAGCACCAACACCCCCACCACCACCACCAGCCCAGCGGCCACCTCCTACCTGTAGGTGTCCCGTAAGCCCATAGAGGCAACCGAAGTACAGGATGCCGAGCACGTTCGAGGCGGCCGGAGTAACGTCTTGGATCAGGGGGTCCACCAAGGGCGCGTCTGATTCCGACGACGACGCCGATAACGAGAGCGATGACAAAAGCGTAACAAGAACGATCATGGTGGTTAGTGCATGATCGAAGGCGATGGTCGTGAAGCAGCAAAGGGGGTGTTGTGTCCGAGCCACCACGCACCAAAAAAATAAAAACAGCCGCGGTCGACGGAAACGGGGGAGGGTGGGGTGGTCTCTAGCGTTTGCGGTCGCGTCAGGGTTAAATTTCGGTAAATAGCCTTCGCTGATGCACAGCAGTGTACGCGCGGGCCAATCGCGACGAGACGAGATCAGGTAGATAATCCCTCATGTTGTCGTTGTTGTCCTGACACTGTAAACCGTTCCGGTCTCCGCTTACCTTCTACTGTCTGTACTGATCCAATTGACGGGGACGCCTTCAGTGGTCACAAGCCAACCACCCCAAAAGGGTGTACACCTTCTAGAAAAAAAGACAAAAACATAATAAACACAAAAACAAAATAAAACACCCTATATGACCGCCAAGACAAACTGTACGGCCGCAAGCGCCGACACCAACACTGCTGCTGCTGCTGCTGCTGCATGCAAAACACACATAAACGACGGCATCACACATACATTCCTCGACGCACAACTTACTGCTCACGCCATGCACGATACACACAAAATCGACCGCATCACACACACGCACCCTTCTCGACGGCTCCCTTCTGGAAGAACACCGTAGCGGCCAGCACCCCGATGAAGGCGTTCTTGAACAGCAGCGCCTTGAGCGTGTCCTTCCGGCGGGCCTGCACCGTCCACCCCCGCCCCCAAACCGCCGACACCTGCGCCCAGAACCCCACGGCGTGCGAGGACTCCTCGAACCAGCCCCCGATGCCCCACGGCCGCCGCTGCAGCAGCTCCAGGGTCGTCGTGCCCTCCTCCTTCCCTTCCTCCGCCCCCTCCTCCTCAGCGTAACCGCCCTTGCCCCCGTAGGCCGCCGGCTTGCCGCCGGGGGGCTCGTTGAACAAGCCCTTCTCCGCATCCTCGTAGAAGTAGTCCCCGCCCATCGTCGATCCGCCGCCGCCGCCGCCGCCGTCTCCCACCCCGAGCAGGGAAGAAGGGTCCACGCCGATAAGCCCCTGGGGGGAAGTGGATGCCGAGGAGTGGATGGAGGAGGAGGCGTAGGACGGTTCGGGTGAGCGAGCTCCCCTCCTCGACGCCCGGCCCTCTTGGTGCTGCTGCGACGACTGCAGGACAGCCTTCGCGGCGAGGAGGATGAACTCCGCCGAGTTCTGCCCCGGGGTGGGCATGATCCCGAGTTCCGGCCTGTTTTTTAATTATTGAGTGGGATAACCAAGGAAAGGGACGACGGTGAACGGGCAGCGTGGGCGGAGAGAGGGCGGGGGGGAGGGGGGGCAGAGGGAATTGAGCCGGGGAAAACGAAAAAAGAGGAAAAGCCTTGCCAGGCCTACATACACCAACGCATATTTGATAGGTTGGCTACAACCTTCCAGGGAAACACAACTGTCACAATATGTCGAAAGCTGGGTAGTTCATTCTGCCGATAAATATGCACATGCATATTCGCCAAGTGTTGTGACCGCCGCCGCCGCCGCAAGCCGGGACATTTTCGGGCATGGTCTGACATCCTGTTTTCCAGAGAGGAGGGTGCGAGAAAACTACCCCTGGGATCGTGCCCAACAACCTGTCGACAACACCGAACACGAACGAACATGGCGACCAAAAATTGCACGTACAAGTAGACTAACCTCGAAAGGATGTCAGCCGCCTTGGAAGCGGAACCGAAGAACGCCTGACGACCGCCCACCATGACGAGCACCTGCTCCGAAGATAACGGGGGGGGGGGGGGGGTACCCCTTTTTTGCTTGCCCTAATCATTTTACCTTTGACCCCCCCTCCCTTTTCAAACGGAACAACGGGGGGGGGGGGGGGGGGGGAAAAACAAAAAAAAACAGGGGAAAGGAAACCAAAAAAGGGGGCCCCCCCCTACCCCCCCCCCAAGGGAAAAAAAAAAAAAGGGGGGGGGGCCCCCCCCAAAAAAACCCCCCCCTTTTTTGGGGGACCCCCCAACAAAAATTTTTCCCCCGGGGTTGGGGGGGGGGAAAAAAAAAAAAACCCCCCCCCCCTTATAAAAAAATTAACCCACCCCCCCCTTTTTTTTTCCCCCTTCAAAAGAAACCCCCGGAAAAAAATATTCCCCCCCGGGGAAACCCCCAATTTTTTTCTTTTTTTTTACCCCTTGGCGCGGCGGGGCGGCGCGCGGGCGGCGCGGTGCCTGTCCCCCCCCCCCCCCCCGGGGGTGGGAAAAGGGGCCCGCCCCCCCCCCCTGGGGAAACCTCCCCCCCCGGGGCCCC